CAATGGAAAAGAAAATGGAAACTACAGGGAATAGGAATTCTATAGGGCTATATAGGGATTATAGGGTTATATAGAGGCAAAATAAGGATAATGGAAAAAAGAAAATGGAAACTACTATACTGGGTTATATGGGGATTATGAAACACTGTATTGTTAACTAGTATGAGGGATTCTGTAGGGTGTATATAGGGTTATATAGGGGTAATCGAAAATAAAGTAGAAACTACTATATGACATTCACAGATCCTTCACATACTCAAACAAATTGCACGTGAGCACTCTGTAGCTCTGTAGGTGTCCCAAACTTCTTAAGTGTTAGTGGCAGACTGGGATCTCCCGCGGTTGCGACTGGCGGCTGTGCTTGTATGCACATGTTGAAACCAGGCCCTATCTGATCCATGTGACCAGAAGAGGCACCAATAACAAAACGGGAATGTTCCGGCTTGCGGGCAACCACTGCCAGTTGCCAGTGTGCAAAAACTTCCTATTCAGTGCAGGTACACTGTGTATGGCAAATCCTGGCACACCTTACCACCTTATGTAACTGCTTTCTGAGCCTTAGCCCATTCATTCACTCATCTATTCATTCATTCATTCATTCATTCATTCATTCATTCATTCATTCATTCGTTTCCTGGCAACCTTGCGCACTTGATGTAAATCAGATTTAGGGCTTTGGGCTTCGGGAAAACAATCAGTGTGGGATCAAGCTGATGAACATGGCGCTCTTCTATTTCATCCTCTGTGACTGCCAATGGCATCTCCCAAGAAAGATCTGCACTCACTGATGAAAGTTTGGGATTAATAAGAACATGATCGCGCAGTACTTCTCCTTCTTAGTGGAGCCCGCAATCCAAGCTTTCTCCCGGAACAGATCCAATTACGCATGAACTGCAGCAATATTATGAACCTCATTCAAGACGACTTTTGCAACGTATTGCTAGTGTGACGCTGCTACGAGTTGTCCGCAACCAGTCCAGGAATCAGTGTCTCATTGTTGCACTAGTCAATCTCTAGCGGACATTTTCGATCAGAGCTTAGTTTGTAATAAAAGTTTGTAACAACGCAGCTTGGCTGTACTGGTATCCCAATCCAAAGCAGTATGCCAGCCCAAGCAGTACTGAAGGTTTGGGGTTTAGGGATTCCACACTTGACATCTGCACTTATGCTTGCGCAGATCAGGGGGCCCAAGACTGGCATACGAAGCAGGTTTTCTGCGACAAACTCAAGCACCCACCAGGGAACTTCATCCCAAACTGAGTAGCTTTTTTTTGCGACAGGTATAGTCAGCCCGGGATAGCTGAACCAGAAACTCGCAAGTCCGAAAGGTCGCTATCTCAAGGCTGCGGCAGCTGTCAGCAAGCTCAATCTTCAGCTTTGTCTCTTGCGCCACACTGGCTTGGATGGCTGCGTCTCACTCACGAGCATCACTCGGTAGCCCCTGCACCAATGCGAGCGCAGCGTTACCAGATTGGTGCAGAGAATGGCTTTGCAAGGGGGGGAAGGAGTTCCACTGGCAGTTCGATACAGCACCGAAAGCCTTCCAGATGTCGGTGTGACTTTAAACCTTGGCAGCCACAAGTCTGATTGTCTGGAGCCAAAGGAAAGCATGACAGCCCTCGGCTTCTGCAACGTCTAGCAGGAATGGCCAGAAAGTAAGCTTCGGTCTTGTCTGGCCTGGACTCAATGAAGTTCCTGCAGCAGTTGTGCTCTGATGAATGCGTGAGCTTCAAACGCTTCATGCCAGGCCCAATCATATTCTCTGATTCATGACTGGGCATCTAACCGAGATACATGGCATAACATAGTACAAGCTTCTGCGCTTGGTGTCCGTTTTGAGGCGAAAGTTGCCAGCCACACATGCAGAGCAGAACTGCCTCACTGTACCCAGGGAAGCGCTGAACCGTTCCTTAGCACTAACCAGTCACCGCAAGCTGCAGACTTCGCGCACATAAGCTTCCTAGGCGGGGTGCAATGCCCAAAGTGGGTTGTGACGGGCTTGGAATATGCAGGAGGGAGCCGGCGGCTAGAACCCCCCCCCCATGTGCGCTAGTCTCAGCAACAAAGTCTTAGCAGAAAATATGCCGCGTTTAGGGTTTACCGTAGGGTTCAGGGGTCCAGCGAGGATGATGGACGACAAAAGACATGGGCATTGGCAACTAAAGCAATAAGCATAGCGAAAAAAATTGAGGCAATAGCGCGTCTATGCTGAAAGTGGGAAGGGTGTAGTATCCCCCTTAGTAACCCCGTTTAGTAGTCCCCTATATAATCCCTCATACCCCCTTTTTAAGGAGTTTAGACCCTAAACCCTGAACCGTATACAACCCCCGTGGGTGCTACGGTAACTTCATGGAAAGGAGTTGGGCCTCCTGCTGTGCATCGACTGCGACCCCAGCTTACATGTCACTCGCAACTCCTGCTAAGGTCGACTAGTACCTAAACCCTAAACCCTCAACCCTAAAATCCTAATCTCTAAACCCTGAACCCTAGAACCCTAAACCCGCCAATTAAGCCAACCTGAGGTTTATGTTTTTTGCTGCGGATTTCACAGCTCCCCTTGCCTCATCAAGCACTAACCAATCAAACTGTAAATGAAAAGTTCTACGTATATGTGAAGCACGATTGCATTGGCAAAGAAGGAATTGACTGTGAAAGTTGAAACATATCATACTGTAATACTGAGTGCAAAGAAAAGGACACCAGAAAAACGATGACTGCCGTAGTAAAAACCATTTAAAAAATAGTTGTAGCAGCGACAGAATGATTGATGATTTACTCGCAGACTTAAGCGGGTAAGTAACCGCTTGCATATGCTTGCATCATCTGATCACTAAGCGAGCGATATTGCGTACCATCAGTAATAGAAGTTGAGGTTGAAGTACTAGCTGTAGGTGTAATAGTAGGTGTAGTACTAGTGTAATTGTGGTAGTAGTGTAATTATACTAGTAGCAGTAGTAGTAGTAGTAGTAGTAGAATGAATCAGCGAAGCCAAGAAGGCGGGAAGTCAGGAGCCTCAAGGCTCAGAGCCCTAAAGCTCCATGAAACTGGGCTGCTGTTAAGGAACTTAAGCTGAGTTACCGTAAATACGGATAAATAGGGTTTAGGGTTTAGTTTTTGTTGTTTAGGGTTTAGCGTTTAGGGATTAAGATACCATACTATGGGTATATAGCCAAAAATAGATAATAGAGCGCAAAACCCTACTCCTATTTCATTTCGCAAACACAAATGCTTACGGTAGCTTAGGTTTTCCAAGCTTTTGCTTACGACATGACATTGTTGTTGTTTCTGCTTACGCCGCTTACGCCGGCTTGCTGCAGCTGCAAGTGCAAGGACTAACAACACCAAAACAGCAGCTTGCGACGCGTACGGTAACAACGTTGCTACAGAATTGCTCACGACGCCTTTCGAAACACAACACTTTGCTTACACCAAACCTTGTTTCTGAAAGCCCGTGCCGTTTCTGAATAAGGAAGGTGTTGATCTCCGCTCGATAGGGTTTCCTTCTTCTTATGGCGACTGAAGTTAAGTTCTTTGACAGCAACCCAGTACAATACATAGCGTGGATACTGCATCCACTAAGTAACAGTTGGAGCACATATACCAGATTATTAATATTCCGGACTTCTATTACAGACTGCTACTGGGTGGGGGGGAATACCCGATACATAGCCCCAAAAATCAGCAGCCGAAAGCATCTCAAGCTGTGGGGGCCCAGAGGCCAAGAGCCCAGCAGCCTTGATTTCCAGAAGCAAGGGGCCGACAAACCAGAAAAAACAAACAACTACGAAAACTAGAAATACTACTACGAATAATGAGAATACAATTAATAATAGTCATACTGTTGATAGCAAGAACGCCCACAGATCAATCAAACAACGCGAATCAGGAGATTCCATGCCCCAAACATTCGCAAAGAGAGGGGCCGATCAATTGGAGGCATGCCTACCTAAAATGGCCATGCCATTTTTTGAGGCCTTTCCATAGCGCTCTCAGGCTGAGCTTATGGTTAAGCAAGAGTGGGGGAGTGAACTTGCATAAGAGGGTTTCCCAAAATCGGAGGTACGTTTTTGGGGTTCCCTATAATAACGGCTATAGTATTTGGGGGTCTATATTGGGGTAGCCAATTTTCTCAAAATTGCCATATGGCTACTGATCAAAACCA